TGCCAGGGCGATGTGGTAGGAGGCGATGGTGAGCAGACTCTGCAGGTCGGGGTCAGAGGTCAGAGTCTGTCGGTTCATCTGGAGAAAAGTCCGTAACGTTCCGTAGCTCACGAACTCCAGGATCAGCACGAACGGCTCTGGGAACGAAACACAAACAGAGTCAAGAATCAAGAATCAGAATCAGAACCAGAATCAGTTCAGAGACACAAAACATCCGGTTCTGTTGCCGCGGCGATGAACCTGACTTAAGCTAGAGAGTGATCATGTGTTCTGTTGCCGTGGTGATTGAGTCTGAACACGAACAGACACGCCTCTTTTCCTCAGACGGCGCAACTCAGAACCGAGGATTCAGATACAGCAGGGTGGCTCATTATTTTTTCCATGGGGCCACATGAAAAACAGAAAATATTGTGGAGGCCAAAATACTAAACTCAATTCTGCATAATATTAATTGTATTTGTTTATAAAAATCAGTAAATCTCATTGTTTTGACGAGCTGTTCAGACTCAGGGAAGAGTTTATGTTTGACCAAACAATGAAAAAGTGACGCTGACAGACAAAAAAACACCTCTGAAATAAAAGTAATGCAGTTTTAGTCCATGTATGAGGTCAAATGATTAAATATGTTTATTTTGTAATTCTAAATGAACCGGTCAGTCAAACAAAGAATATAGAAAACAGAATCTGTGATGTCTGAGCCCAGTGCCGCTTTAATGAAGAGTTTTCATTTTGTTTGGAGCTTTGATGGTTTAAAAGACAATTTCAGTCACTCGTGTCACTGCAGTACTTTACTACATTTGTATTACTGCAGTACTTTACTACGTCTGTATTACTGCAGTACTTTACTACATCTGTATTACTGCAGTACTTTACTAGCAGTACTTTACTACATCTGTATTACTGCAGTACTTTACTATTACTGCACTGTCTGTATTACTGCAGTACTTTACTACGTCTGTATTACTTTTACTACGTCTGTATTTTACTGCAGTACTTTACTACATCTGTATTACTGCAGTACTTTTACTACATCTGTATTACTGCAGTACTTTACTACGTCTGTATTACTGCAGTACTTTACTACGTCTGTATTACTGCAGTACTTTACTACTCTGTTTACTGCAGTACTTTACTGTCTGTATTACTGCACTGCAGTACTTTTACTACGTCTGTATTACTACTGCAGTACTTTACTACTACGTCTGTATTACTGCAGTACTTTACTACGTCTGTATTACTGCAGTACTTTACTGTCTGTATTACTGCAGTACTTTACTACGTCTGTATTACTGCAGTACTTTACTACATCTGTATTACTGCAGTACTTTACTACGTATTACTGTACTTTACTGTCTGTATTACTGCAGTACTTTACTACTGTATTTACTGTATTACTGCAGTACTTTACTACTGCAGTACTTTACTGTATTACTGCAGTTCTGTATTACTGCAGTACTTTACTGCATCTGTATTACTGCAGTACTTTACTGCGTGTCTGTATTACTGTGCAGTACTTTACTGTGTCTGTATTACTGCAGTACTTTACTGTGTCTGTATTACTGCAGTACTTTACTGTGTCTGTATTACTGCAGTACTTTACTGTGTCTGTATTACTGCAGTACTTTACTGTGTCTGTATTAGTGTCTGTTTGTGCTGTACTCGTGTCACTCATGTTTTTAGTCCATTTCCTGTTCATGGTCCAAAATGTTCGACTCACGTGACACCGACACTTTCACTTCACTTATACTGAATGTTTCTATTTATATTGAATTATTCTATTTATATTGAATTTTTCTATTTATATTGAATTATTCTATTTATACTGAATTTTTCTATTTATATTGAATTATTCTATTTATACTGAATTTTTCTATTTATATTGAATTATTCTATTTATATTGAATTATTCTATTTATACTGAATTTTTCTATTTATATTGAATTATTCTATTTATACTGAATTTTTCTATTTATATTGAATTATTCTATTTATACTGAATTTTTCTATTTATATTGAATTTTTCTATTTATACTGAATTTTTCTATTTATATTGAATTTTTCTATTTATATTGAATTCTTCCTGGAGGTTTTGTAGTTGAAGCAGATTTATTTTGGAGCCTGAAACTCAACCGATGTTAAAACAACAACAGTTTTTCGGTGGCGTCCACATTTTTTTCTTCGAGTTGAACAAACAAAACCTAACAAAACGGTTGAAGCGCAGACATGACGTCACATCTTAGATCCGAGTGGGAGACGGACAGATAAACCAACGCAGCATAACCACTTAATCTTTACATATTTACATTTTTAATGTTCATTAATATGTACTGTCCCTTTACAAATAAATAAAATAAGAAAATAAGACTACAGCTGATGTTTTCTGTTGCCGTGGTGACTGAGCCTGACTAAAGCTGGAGTGCTGATGTGTTGTGTTGCCGTGGCGATGAGTCTGACCTTCTGCTGTGTTCCAGTCCAGCAGCTGCAGGATGTTCTTGTGATGGACCAGTTTCCTCATGATGGACACTTCAGTCTCCACGTGCTTCACCCGAACTCCTGAAAAAAAAAAAAAAAACACATTTACAATCTGACATTTCACTTTTAAAACTCTGGCCGAGTTTTTCCTAATTTTAATTGAGAATATTCCATAACCGTTACCTAGCAACCATAATGTAAACAAGACCCAGTATTTGTCTGAATTACACAACAGTTATGATTAATGATGAATAAAAATACATTAACAATAACATCTCCATGGAGAAAAGTACCAGGAAAGTTCCACAGTGCAGCTTTAACTGTTGTAAAACTGTGATTTACTGTGACCTTCTTTGCTGATCTTGCAGGTGACCATGTTGTGTCCTTTGCAGGTTCCTCTGGTCATTCGAGCTTTGTAGAAAACTCCTTCTTTTCCAGCTTTGATCAACTGCAGCAGGTTCAAGTCCGACTTCGTGAAGCGAGAATTCTGAAAAAAGATGAAAAAAGAAGAAGGTACACATGTAATCCTCTGACCTTCTGACCTTCTGATCTGCTCCTCTGACCTTCTCCTCTGCTCCTCTGACCTTCTGACCATCTCCTCTTCTCCTCTGACCTTCTCCTCTGCTCCTCTAACTTTCTCTCTGCTCTCTGATCTCTCTCTGCTCCTCTCTTTCTCTGCTCCTCTGATCCTCTCCTCTGCTCCTCTGAACTTCTGACCATCTCCTCTGACCTTCTGACCATCTCTTCTGCTCCTCTGACCTTCTCCTCTGCTCCTCTGACCTTCTGACCTTCTCCTCTGCTCCTCTGACCTTCTCTCTGACCTTCTCTGACTCTGACTTCTCTCTGCTCTCTGACCTTCTGACCTTCTCCTCTGCTCCTCTGACCTTCTCCTCTGACCTGTCTCCTCTGACCTTCTGACCTTCTCCTCTGCTCCTCTGACCTTCTGACCTTCTCCTCCTTCTGACTCCTCTGACTTCTCCTCTGCTCCTCTGACCTTCTCCTCTGACCTTCTAACCTTCTCCTCTTCTCTCTGATGTTGTTTTTTTTTACCTGTTGAGCTGCCTTCCACATTTTTCGTGTTGAGCTTCGTCCGGCGCTGGACCGTCTCAGGCGGTTCAGGACCGGGACGTCCCTCTCCTCCCTCTCCTCTCTGTCTCCCGCCTGCTGCTCCCTCTCTTCTCTCTCCTCCCTCTGTCCTTCCTCCTCGTTCTCCTCCTCGTCTCCTCTCTCCTCGGGTCGGAGCGGGCGCAGGCGGTGGTCCAGGTGCGGAAACGGTTTGTGCTGCTTCAGTCTCCAGAGCAGACGACGATACCTGGAGCGAAAAATGATCCAGATCCAGATCCAGATCCAGATTCAAATCCAGATCCAGATCCAAATCCAGATCCAAATCCAGATCCAGATCCAGATCCAGCTGCTCGTCTTCATGGAAATGTTATCGCTTTGTTTAGATAGAATGTTCCTCAGTGTGGCATTGTTTCTTCATTTGATCTGTTTCCATGGAGACCAGCCTGCGGTGCCTCCAGGTCACGTTACACATCAGACCTGTGGAGAGGCGAGCTCACTTACTGTAGGAGACTACTACTACTGCTACTGCTACTGCTACTGCTACTACTACTACTACTACTTACTGCTACTGCTACTGCTACTACTACTACTATTACTGCTACTGCTACTGCTACTACTACTACTACTACTACTACTATTACTGCTACTGCTACTGCTACTACTACTACTACTACTACTACTTACTGCTACTGCTACTGCTACTACTACTGCTACTATTACTATTACTATTACTGCGACTACTACTGCTACTACTACTGCTACTACTACTGCTACTACTACTACTACTACTACTACTACTACTGCTACTACTACTACTACTGCTACTGCTACTACAGCTACAACTGCTACAATTACTGCTGCAACTATTACTACTGCTACTACTGCTGCTACTTCTACTACTACTACTACTTCTACTGCTACTACTATTACTACTGCTACTGCTGCTACTACTTCTACTACTACTACTACTGCTACTTCTACTGCTACTTCTATTACTACTGCTACTACTACTCACTGTAGGAGAGTGTGTTTTTCAGAGTATTTTTGAACACTAAAACACCTGTCATTGAAAAACTGTAGGCAAACCAATAATATCTCCATGGAAACGAGCTTATAGCAGACATCCACCAGAAAAGTTCCACAGTGCACCTTTAACATAAAACTAAACACAAAATGAATAGTTTTTAGACTTAACTGTGTGTGTGGTGTTTAAATATAATTCACACTCGACTGTTCCTCGTCAGGTTTTGGTGAATTTAGTACAAACTGCAGCAGCTGGAGCATGAAGTTTAACCAGAACTTTGTGTTGATGTTTTTCCAAACCGTGTGTCAGTAATTTAAATAACCGGGTCAATTCTGTTCTTGAGTGAGGCACAACACCTCGGAGTCATGGTTTCAAATTCAAGCGACCAGTGTTGTGGAGTAACAGATTACATGTACCAGAGTTATGTAATCAGAGTACAAATGATGAGTAACTGTATTCAGTTACAGTTACTGTTTCAGTGAGTGGGAATTGGATTACAGTTACTTTGTTGAAATAAATGGATTACACAGAGGGATTTTACTGTTTTCACATTTCGGGCTAAATCCTTTTTTTTTTTTCCAGTAATTCCACTCATTGTCGGACACTAAACCAGGTCCAAACCAAGTCTAAACCAGAACTAAAACCAGGTCCAAACCAAGTCTAAACCAGGTCTAAAACCAGGTCTAAACCAGAACTAAATCCAGGTCTAAACCAGGTCTAATCCAGGTATAAACCAGAACTAAATCCAGGTCTAATCCAGGTCTAAACCAGGACTAAACCAGAACTAAAACCAGGTCTAATCCAGGTCTAAACCAGGTCTAAACCAGAACTAAAACCAGGTCTAATCCAGGTCTAAACCAGGTCTAAACCAGGTCTAATCCAGGTCTAAACCAGGTCTAAACCAGAACTAAAACCAGGGCTAAACCAGGTCTAAACCAGAACTAAACCAGAACTAAAACCAGGTCTAAACCAGGTCTAAACCAGGTCTCAAACAGGATTTAACAGGACTAAATCCTGCTGCGTGGACCGTGTTTCCTCGTTTTCTATCAATAATATTTTTAATTTGGTTCAGTAAAATCTGGGCTTTTTTATTTTCTTTTAGCAGATAAAACTTCTTATGTGAAGATTTCCTCGTCTTTGCTTCTCTACAGCAAATCAAGTAATCCAAAGTATTCAGATTACATTACTCACTGTAAGTAATTTAATGGATTCTGTTACAAACTACATTTTGGTGTATGTAATCTGTAATCTGTAGGGGATTACATTTTAAAAGTCACCTTCCCAACACTGCAAGCGACACATTGGAGAAATGTGTAAAGTATTTCATGAGGAGATGTTTGTGTTGAGATGATTTAAAACAAACTTTCCACCAACGACTCATGATCTTCTGTTCCACATTTACAACATTTACAACATTTACAACATTTACAACATTTACAACATTTACAAAGCCCGTGTCAGATCTGGACTAGAACTGCTCAGAGTTAAAATGTGGTGCAGGAAAGAGTCTGAAAGTCTGTCATTCTCCTCCTGTCCTCGTATCGTGCCCACATAACACCAGAACCACAGACACTCAGGTCGACCAGACTGCAAACCACACACAGTTTTGCATTTCAACTGTACCAGGGGCTTTCACCAGCAGCTCTGGGACGACACAGCCCACACGGAAAATTCTGCTTTATGATGTACGACGAGCCACCTGTGTGTCTCCCACCGTCTCTCAGCCGGTTTCACTTCGTAGAAACTGTGTGACCTCGCAGCATTAGGATTCGTTCGCTCGACGGTAGGTGGGTTCTTTCTTTATTTAACCAATCGCTGCTGTTTGGTCGTGACGTATGTAATGCTCCAAATCCCGAAGGAAGAAGGACAATAACGTCTCAAAATGTCGCTTAAACATAGATCATCTTTGCTCATTCTGTCATTGAAGAAACGGTCACCCATATGTTTTGGGAATGCTCATACACTCAAATCTTTTGGAATGACATATTTTTGTTAGTGAATAGAAAGCTTGATACAAACCTACAATTTAATATAAAACATGTCCTTTTTGGTGTCTTTGAAGAAAAAATTCCTGCTAAAAAAATATATGTGTTGAATTTAATCCTAATCCTATCAAAGTTTAATATTCATTGCTGTAAATTTTCTAGTCAGAAACCCACATTTGTCATGATTCAGTCCCTTTTGTCCTCTTATGTAAATTCTCTAAATTACTGCACAAATCCCAAAGCCTTGAAAACAAAAGCACTTTGTATGGAATTTGAAATATGAATGTATTTATTTACTTTTCTACATTTGTACATGCACATTTATATATTTACACTGTGATGCATGTGTGTGTTAGTAATTGCGCTGATCGAGCCTTGTGAGCATATGAACTCTTAACCCTCCAGCAATGTTTTTGTTTAAACCATTGTATATTACATTGTATATTTGAAAAAAAAAAAAAAAAAAAGAAGGACAATAACGTCTTTCCCCTTGATAAAATTCACCAAACATTCTCTTTGTTCCGGTTTTAAATCCTTGATCTCGGGAATCGTTGCCAACACAGAATGTCTGTCTCTTCGCTGATTGGCCGGTGTGACGTCTACAACTTCTGAGGTTCTTGCAAACCGTCTAGTGCTTTTTGATTCTTGTGTGAGGTTCTCCCTGCTCCTCCTCCCCCTCCTCTCCCTGCTCCCTCTCTCTGTATTTACTTACCTTGTTTGGCATTTCCTGGGCGGGGCCCAATCATGCACCTGCTGAGCTCCACTCCTGTTCTTCATCAGTAATCATCTCGTACAATAAAAGACCTGCTGACCTGCTCTCCAGTGCCAGATTGTTCCGTCATCCCACTGGTGAACTACTCAGGCTTTTTAAGATTTTTGAGAATTCCAGAGACTTTTTGATGCTTACCTGTTTTTTTGTCCCATCCCCAGCACTTCATTTGGAGCCAGCCTCATCCCGTCCCCACCAGTTTCTGTAAGCCTCCGGTCAGCCTCCCATCTGCAGCCGACCCGGACCCGTCCTGCCTCCCCTGGAATCTATCCCCCCGCCAAGACTATTTTTGTGAAATAAATACTTTTTTCCCTCTGTATATTTGGGTCCAACCAGTGATTCCTTAACATCTTGACCTATTCGCTGGAGAGAAATTGAGAGGAGACACTAGGTGACACCAGCCTGACAAGCCCAGTACTGTCATCATCAGAGGTCATGTCTCACTCTGGCCACTAGGAGGCTCAGTGTGACTGTGTGTCACTCTGGAACAACAGAGAGAACACAGCTCAGCGACAAACACCTCACAGACTCTTCCCTTCTGGATGAGAGGGGGATGGAGGGGATCAGGGGTCATATGACCATAGAATTTTAATTCTGTATTTGAGGATAGAGAAAAATCCCACACACCGTAAAACTTATAAACTGAGAGATTTATTAGGACAAAACTGTACAACGTTTCTGCACTAGATCTACATCAGGCAAAAAAAAAAAAAAAACTACTATTACTACTATTACTATTATTATTACTATTACTATATTATTATTACTACTACTACTACTATTACTATTACTATATTACTTATTACTATACTACTACTATATTATTATTACTACTATACTATTTATATTACTATTACTATTATTACTATTACTACTACTACTACTATTACTATTACTACTATTACTGCTACAATTTTTTTTGTTTGTCCAATTTGCAAATAAAACGGTGTGTGGGATTTTTCTGTACGTTCTTGAGCTGCTCCGTCTCAAGTCGCTGATTCTTTTATAATTTTGTATTTGAAAAAAACAAAAAAAAAAACAGAGAATAAGGCTGCGTTCAGACTGCAGCCTGAAGTGACCCAAATCTGATTTTTTGTCTCTATGTTCCTGTATCTGATCTTTTAATGTCAGTCTGAACCACACAGATCTGAATTTTTCAAATGTGACCCAGGACACTTGGATATGTGCTCCTGAAACTGATACATATCTGATCTTTTGACATGTGACTTCAGTCTGAACGGCCAAAGTGCATTCATCCACCTACACGTTATCAACAAGACACAAACGTCACTATTCTGCACTGAAGCAGGCGGAAACCGGAACTGTAAAATCTTCAGGTGCTCAATGCTCGCGACCATATTTGGACAACTTCCGTAAACACAGAGACGCTCGCTGCGGTTGACGCATGGGGTTGACGTCGTCGTGTCTCCAGTGTCACATGTGAGACACTTTCGGGCCGTTTATCGTTCACACTGAAGTCACAGACAAGTCGCATTTAATTGGAAATGTGAACGACCTCGCAAAAACATCGGATTTCACACAAAAAATCGGAATTGAGCATTAAACCCTGCAGTCTGAACGCAGCCTAATTTTCCGGTCAAAAACGTCTAAATCTAAGTTCGTGCTTCCTTTAGTGGCCTCTGCAAGTTCAAGTACTACGTGACATCACACAGCACTGTCCCACACACTCTGCCGTATGATTATTTAACGGAAGGAGAATAAAATAAAATGACAGGAAACACCGTGGGTAATCAGGAAACCAAAGTGTGAGCCAGAAACCATGAGACTAAACACGTGTGAAAAAAAAAACTAGAAGCTGCGTAAAGGCACATTTACCTTTATTTATTTATTTATTTTATTTTAATTCTATAAACAATGAAGCAGGAAAAACAGAGACTCGTTTCGAAAAATAAAAGTTCAGGTTCAGTCGTTTACTTCAGCCGCTGGACTGACTGTAAATGTAAAAACTGCAGTGTGTAAAAGTTTAAAGTTTTTTTGTTTGTTTGTTTTGTTTTTTTGTTCTCATTCTGTCTCTGTGGTGTCTGATGAACGTTTGGCCCGCGCACACACATGCAGAGCTCCCCCAGAGCGACGGAAGCGCGCAGAGTCTGTCGGTGGTTTTCAGATTCGGGGCAAGAGACGATTTTTCCTGTCGCGAAGTTTCAGACGAAGTCACAGAATTTTACACAAAAAAGTGATTTAATACAAATGAGAGCAAGTAAAACTACTACTACTACTACTACTACAAGTACTACTACTACTACTACTACTACTACTACTACTACTACTACTACTACTACTACTACTACTAGCTACTACTACTACTACTACTACTACTACTACTACTACTACTACTACTACTACTACTACTACTACTACTAACTACTACTACTACTACTACTACTACTACTACTACTACTACTACTACTACTACTACTACTACTACTACTACTACTACTGCTACTGCTACTATTACTGCTACTATTACTACTACTACTACTGCTACTGCTACTACTACTACTACTACTACTACTACTGCTACTGCTACTGCTACTATTACTACTACTACTACTACTACTACTACTACTACTACTACTACTACTACTACTACTGCTACTACTACTACTACTACTACTACTACTACTACTACTACTACTACTACTACTACTACTACTACTACTACTA